AGGGAATCAAATTTAAAAATTGACTAAATTCAAAAACTTCTTTTAAAAAATATTTTATAAGATTAAAAATATTCTAAAGAGAAAATAATAAATAAAATTAAAACTAAAAATGTTAATAAGTTTATTTTTTTAAGAGAAATGAACTTAAAAAAATTAGAAAATTAGAAAATTGACTATTGTCAAAAATGAAAAAATTATCAAGGGAACTAGGCTAGATATGAAATGTTAACAGGGACATTTTGGTACAAACATATCAAATTCAAGGTGTATGACATGATTCCTCCCATTTTTCAAAGGCTTGCATATTCTTAAAAATATGGTAATCTATATTCTTAAGAAAGACTATTCCATGTTTCTTATAAGTAACCAAACATAGGTAATGTTGGAATGAAAATATGATTACTATTTCACAGGCTAAAATTCTTGTAATCAAATGTGACCATATTGTTTTTCTTTTTATTAATTCTTATATATTTCGATGGAGTTTAAACATTTTTTTTAAAAATATAATCCTAAAAATATAAATAAATTTAGACATGTCTTTCAAATGTTGCATAGTATTCAAATTCAAAGAATACAACATACTAGAACTGCTTCTGCTTTCTTTTTAACCCAACCTCTGTGAGAGAAAAGTTACACTTGACGTGCATGCGGAGGTGTGGGCAAGTTGAAGTCCCTTGTAACTTCTTGGTGAGGCCCCCTGGTTTGCACTTGTTGGATTCACTGGCCTCTTCACTGGTAATCGTTAATTATAAAAAGGAAAGAAAGAAAGAAAATGTCCATCAATCGTGGGGCAATTAATTTTGTTAAAAAATATGGCAAGAAAAAGTGGAAAAAATATGACACGAAAAATATTATGTCATCATTATGCTGTTCATGAATCATGAGCGTCTCGTGAGACACAAGCTTCGATTGCCATTACCTGGCCCATCACCCCACGTATTATTTACCCTCTATATCTAATATGAACATGTATTATATATAAATTAAAAAAAGAGTTATATTATTTACAATTTATTGGATTTTTTAAAATTATATATAAATACTGGACTGTTATAAAATAAAAAAATATTTTTTTAAAATGGCTTTTGAATTTGGGTGTCGATTTCATCATCGCATCATCGTTGTATATGGAATCCGAGTAATCTGGCTGCTTGCGTATATATGTTAACAAATATTAGTTATACATAAGGAAGCATCGCTGTCAAAATAAATAATCCATAAAAGAGCTTATAATCCTAATAAAAAAATAACCATCCAAATGCTTGCCTTCTCAGTGTCAAAAAATAATATGGAATTATTATTCAAAGTCAAATGCATAGTATAAAAATCCAGGTCAACTTGTCCAATTGCAGTGATAAATCATTAAATCAGTGTATTAAACAATTTAATAAAATATTTTATTTATAACCTATCTAATCTCAATTAAATTATAGTTTTTATTATTATTCTTAAACTAATGTTCTAATCAATTCAATAACCTATCAGTTTTAACTTTATGAAAACGGTAGGTGAGACTAGCCAGTGGAGACTAGGGAAATTAACAATTATGGAAAGGAATGTGAAATTTCAATAAAAATAATTTTAAAAAATAGAGAGGTGACGTTTAAAGTTTTTTTAAATTAATCTTTCTTACTATTTTATTTTACATATCTTTTAATTAAAATTTTATAACTCCACTTCTTTACTTCTAAACTTATTAAAATCTCCCCACCATTTTCTTCAGGGTTTCAACCAAATTGGGGTAAAAAAGCACCAGAAAAACGTTTACATATTAGAGAGGCAGCCGACGTCATTCTCTTTTGAAAACTGAGATATTTATAATAATTTAAAATCTGACACACTATACAGTGTTGAGTTCCATATGGAGTAGCATATAATTTTTTAAACTTAAAAAGTGATTTCACTTCTTCGATTTGCAATTTTTCAGAAGTAAAACATTCTTCAACGAAAAAAGGCCCAAAAGAACATCATGATAAAAATGATCAGCTCACAAGTAAAGCATATAGACGGCCTTTTTATTATCTAGACAAGTAATCTGATGGTTTGAAATTATATATATTTACACACCGAAAGACATTAAATAAAATCGCTCTGTGGATGAAAAAAAATGGTCATGTTTTAAATTAAAGATAATTAAATAACGAGACCATTATATATAAAGTTTAAATCCACATCACAGAAGGGGATTATTATTTGCTCAAAATTTTGTTGTTGGAAATTCTGACTTCTCTCAAAATGCGGGCACCCGCGTTTTTAAAGTGAAAAATTGCCTTACCCGTCCTATATTGCAATGGCCAAATAAAAGCAAAAGATACAATAAACATTATATGAAAAAAAAAAGGTTTGTGGGACGTTAGAGCATTGCTTAATCTTCTGAAATAGATTCTATTTTGTATTTTTCTCACTTTAAAAAACATTGTAGGAAGCAAAGATGCGTTTGATGACTTGCACATACATAATTAATCCGTACATAGTTCCCTCTCCAAGCCACAAGCAGACGGTGCATCAATTTCAATAGGACAAGCAGAGTCGTCAATTAAAATTGAGTCTGAACATCCCTTTAGTTTAAAAAAATTTAAGTTAAATTATTACTTTAAAATATAAAATGTTAATTTGAATTTAAAAGGGTCAACCCTTTTAAGCGGCCTTAAATAAAAGGGCTGACCTTTGTAAGTCTCTTTATAATTTTTTTAAGTTTTAATATTAAAAAATTAAATATTACATTAATTTTAAAACCCTAACCTTATTTCATGGGAATGAAGAAGAAATATATAAAAACCTTAAATTTTTATCACCATTGAGGCGCTATAAAGAGAAGAATAAAATTATATTGATATTGATGATAATAAAAATGATCAAGATTTTACTTATGATGATAGTAAAGTTTGATTATTATCAATATTAATTTTGTGATATTATTTTTTATTAGAATCAAATTTGTTTTTATAGATTTAATATGATGTGTAATAATTTTTTTAAAATTTTAAGCATGTGCTTTCAGATTTTTAAATTAAAAAATAAAAAAATATATAGGGTTGAGGGTTAACAATAGAACTTTAATATATAATTAGATTTTATAGGCTCAGTTCATTTAGTTCTGGATTGACACCAGCAAGCACAAGACTGTTGTAGATGAAAACGACGCCAGTTACATTAACTGGTACAGGTGTCAAGTGAAATCTTCTCGTGCATGTCGCCGTTCAATTCCGTGAGAACACAAAGGGGGAAAAACGACTTCATGAAGGTTTGTGAACAAGGAAAGTGAGAGGAAGGAATTTACGAGAGGATAAAGAGGGTAAGCGAAGACGACGAAGAGGCACCAAAATAAAGAAATAAAGCAGAAAAGCAGAAGATGTTGACAAAATGAACACGAACGTAGCCATAGGGTTATCTACAACTCTTGTTCAAGTACGTACGTGACCATCTAACTAGCTTGCAAGCTGGTGCAAGCCCCATGTATTGATTTGTCATCTTCTGCATGTGTTTGGAATATTGAGGAGAAGAGAGAAATCAAAAAGAGGGCCTGAACGAACACCATGGAGTGGTGGGAACATGCACTGATTGGCTTTCAGTGTTAGGAAAAGCAAGAGATGATAGATGGATCCATCTTCTTTCGAGTACTTTGATGCCCTAAAGATATGCTCAGGAGGAAAAAGGGACGTGATGGATCTCAACTTTGTGGATTTCTTTTTCAGGTTGCTTTCGAATGTGCACAGACAGAGAGATCTCTTTGCGAGATTTGGTTCTTTGTACTGATTAGACTTCTTCTACAACGTTACCTTTCTCTTGGATCATCATCACCATCATCATCATATATCATCCCAGTTCTCATTAATTTCATCTGTTTGCCCAATAATGGCTTTTCTTTTATATATTTAATATAATCATCGTCCAACAATGACTTGCCATTGTGGTAACAATTATTGCGCGTAACAGTACGCAAAATACACTCCCTCCTCGATCAATTTTAATTAATTACCTTGGAATAATACCACTATTAAGGGCATTAGCCGCTTCACATCAGCTTCCCCTTTTACTTGTCGGCCATTAGTTTTGTCTTCTCTTTCTATCATCATTTTATGTATCACCTGCCCCTCACAGCATTCAAGATTCGATGTACATCGCTGGAAACCATGACATGATTAGTTTATAGTATAAACTACATTTACAAAATCTTTAAGTTTTAATTTATTCCATCGCAGAAAGGCGCTCGTATATGTTATTTCTACAAAGTAGCTAGCTAGAAATTAAAATTGCAGAAATTATTTAGTTTTTTGGATGTGGAAGGCCTCATCTTCTAGATATAAATTAATATAATTATATTGTTCCAAGGAATGATCGGTAGTTTCTGGGAAGTCACAGGAAGTCAGGTTAAAGCGGAGATCAGTTAAAAAAGAAAAAAGAGGGGGGGGGGGTGAAGCAAGTTCGTTTCAAATTAGAGAGATGCGAATCAAAGGGGACAGTGTTACAACAACATGGGACACAGTGTCCAGGGGATATGGAGTTTCAAGTACAGAGGAAAAGTTGTTTGGTGAACATGACAATGTTTGGCTTTGCCTCCTTTTCTATATGATGGCACATCTCAGTGGCAACCTAAGCTTCTTTAATTGCTCCGCCATGTCACTCTGCTTGCTTCCCAACTCAACTTGACTCGCCACGTTTCCCACAATGTTATTCTGCCATTTCTATGTAGTGTGAGCAATTCACACACACACACACATCAGATACAGCTGCTTCAATATATTGCTGACGTCGATAATGGGAAAAAAGTCCAGTCTCAATTCAAGAAAAAAATAATAGAATAATGGTCATGGGTTATTTTTTCTTCGCACGCACCCACCATAAAACTGTGATATATTAGGCGGGCATCAAACACAAAACAATTACACAAGAACAAAATATTTTATACAGCAACACACACAGGTGTACTGGGGGTTTCCAACTTTAAATGAAAGTCAAAAGTGTAACGAATATAAAATACGTGGGCTTCCCATATCTCCCCGGTATATCAACTTTTTTTTTATTTATTTATTTTTTAACTTCATGTTACGGTGTTAATCAATAATCCACAAGTATTTGTCATCCTTGCAAACAAGGGGACCAGGAAAAGCACCCAGAGATGGAAGAACCGAGGAACAACACAGGCCTACATCAACTTGTTGAAGACGAAGACAAAAAATACCAAGAAGACAAGGTCAAGAGAGAAACTTTATTTGATCTGAACGCATCTGGTCCTGATTCTGGTGTTGATAACGGCCCCGAACTCAATCTCATCACTCGTTTGGATCAGAGTCCATCAAAAGCATCATCAGAAAGCTGTGCCGATGGTGCCGATGCTGGTGTTGGTTCAGGAGCAGAACCACGATGTTTTTCATGTAATTACTGCCAGAGAAAGTTCTACAGTTCACAAGCGCTAGGGGGACACCAAAATGCGCACAAGAGAGAGCGATCAATAGCGAAAAGAGGACAGAGGCTTGGAACGCAAATACTGGCTTCAGCAGCAGCTTATGGTCATCCTTTCCTGCATAATTATGGGTATGCGAGCATGGCGTCCCTGCCTCTCTACGGTGCTGCTTGCAATAACGAGCCTCTGGGGATTCAGGCTCACTCTTTGATCCACAAGCCATGTAATAATGGGCACAGGGCTTGGGCACACCAGCCCGGGATAGGGAAGCTAGAGATGGTGAATTTTCATAAAACGACGTCGGGATTAGCTTCGAGAGGAAGTGTGGGGAGGTTTGAAATTGTGAAGACTATGATGGGTTGTGCAGAAAATGAAGAGATCAGTGGGCGTTTGGTGGGCGGGACTCACTGCTTGAAGACTAGCCCAGAAGAAACGAAGCACCTTGATTTGTCTCTCAAGCTTTAGGCATAGGCTCGTTGATTAGGTTTGGCCTCTTGGATGGTACGATCAGCATGATCAATAGGCCAAAGCATTTTGTCAAATTTCTTTTCCCATCGTGTGGAATAATTATATTTTGTAAATTTTTTTCCTGGTAGGATCAAATTTCTGTTTCTGTTGATCAACTTGATTTGTAGCGTATTCAACTCCTCTGTAAGGAGTGTCATTTAGTTCATATTTCAAGTTTTTCACGGCGTCATTTTTTGCGCCTCCTGCTTTATTTTTGTGAATCTGATCGCAAATTTCGGAGGCTAGATTCCTAGTAAGTATTGAGCAGTCACAATTCACAAATCATGTTATCACCCAGTAAAACGATTCACGATTTGAATTCATAGTGTTGGATTGTCAATTAAGGGACACAATTAATTTTCACGTGATCGCGAGTAACGTCAAGGTCTTGGTCCCTGATCCGATTGAAAAGAACATCGATGTGAACAAGTGGAAACCTAAATTTTTCATAGAAATGATTCGAAATTCGTACAAAATAGGGACCTGTCCAATGGCCTGATCATGATATCTGACAATAATTTTCTCGAAAAGTTAAGTTGAGAAATCAGGTTTGTTCGTCGCCTGTTGTCGAATAAGATTCTGATATGATGCAGGGACAAGAGTGACAAGATGAGTACAAATAATTTGAATAGAATAAGTTATCGGGCAACTTGAGTGAGTTAGATAACATAATAATAAATGGATATTTGAAGAAAAAAACAGAGAGATGGGGAAAAAAAGGGGGGGGGGATGGGGTGTGTTGGGGCTTGTGATTGTCCAGATATGAAAAGGAGGATAATAAATTGAGAATGACTTGGTGTTCTAGTAAATATAAGGGTGTGTGGTTGTCGTGTACGAGGAGCATGATAAGGGTGTCTCTCAAATCTAGACAAGATTCGTTATGGAATACTACAATGGATCAAGGATCTGCCGTGTTCTGATATTTTAAACGTGTTTGTTAGTCATTATCAGAATCAGATAGCAGCCTCCTCTGAATTTGACGGTTTCCTTCCACTCTGTCAACCCAAACCTGTTGTTTTCCTTCACACGCCCATGGCCTATTGGCAGCTCATTCATTCCTACCATGACTATAAATATACACATCCGAGATCTTTGTTTTATAAATGGCTTGGTTGAAAACGATCTTTGAGTCCTATTAAGGAGCAAGCATGCGAGTATTCTAGATGGCGACTTGTATTAGTGTTATATATTATCTAGAATAAAAACTTCAGGCGATGAAGACTGGAGTGAAACAATTACATAAGAACTCAATTGCATCGTTGTAGTGGTTGGTTGTCAGTAAAGAATAAAAGAGCCCTAATATAGATCAAATAAATGAAAATGAACTTTAGACTTAATATTTTATAGTCTCGAGTTACGATATAATCTCCTATGATAGTTTTCCGGAGGATCTGATGGAATAGCATGAGGAAGGATTACTGATAGTCACTGGCCCAACACACGGTGACGGCAAAAATTATGCATCTTAGTCTTGGACTGGGTGTCTAAGGCCCATGAAGCCCAATGATCCAACCCACTCAACAGTCACTAGAAGGCCCAATCAAATTGCAACGCGGCCTCGGGCAACGATTGAAAGTAGCCTGTGATGGAGGATTGGGCTTAATTATGAGGTCCACTCACTAATCATTGTTGCATTGGTGTTTTATCTAGTTTGTTTATTACTATTAATATTAATGTTATTTGGAATTTTAAAATTTTTGTAGATAAGCCTATAATTGTGAGCATGGCAATTAATGTTATATTGAATTTTCAAGAAGACGTATTAATATAATTTTTTATGAAAGAAAAGACTGTAAAAGGAAATGAGAGGTAGGCGAGATTGATAAGAAAGGTGGAGGAAAAAAAGAAGAAAAGATAATAAGGGGATAATAAATAAGAAGAGATCGTGAGTGGACATTAATGATGTGGTTGTAAAGGAAACAGCAGTTGTGGAGTGACAGGAAAGGAATCACCTCACGTGTGTTTGCCTCTCTTCCATCCACAAAACTCCAACCACTTCCCTTCAATCTCTCCCACGTCCCTCCAAAGCACCTCACACGCATGTGTCTCTTAGATCCGACAATTAATCTTATCCACCCCCAGTTCGTATATCTACTCAGGTCTCAGCTAAGTACTTTTGGAGTATATTTCACGTTCTAAAATATTAAACATTTTTTTATAAAAATAATGTTATATTAATAATTTTTTAAAATTTTATTCTTTTTATGTATTTTTGGGCAATGGAGTGTTCAAAAAGCAAGTTTTTGAAAATCTATTTTTGTTTCTTTAAAAAATAAATTTATAAAATATATCTGATGAGTTTTATTAATATATGTAATTTTATTTGAAAATGTCTTGTAAATTGAGGTAGAAAATATTTCTTTCTCTTTTTTTATAAAAAAAAATTTAATGTAGATTAAAGGAAGCTATATTACATCAATTTATTTGTTTTAAAACATCAAATTATTCTAATTATGCCCCTATTCATCTATTTTTATAAATTAGACCAGTTTTATTTTGTGGAAGCCGGTTTACAAACAGGATCGAGTTGTCATAAGTATAAGGCCCAGTTTATTAATTTGCATATATTAAAAAATTTGGTTAAGTTTATTATGGATCATTATTATTATCATTATTTCCCTTCTTTTAAAATAGTCCTCTTTTAATGGGGGCATTTAAAATAAAAAAAAAAGAGAAAAGAAATAAGCAGTTTGATGTTAGAAAGTACAAAACAAAGGCTTCGTCTAATCCATGATCGACCAGCTCGACAGCTCCCAATTTATTGAGTGCATGGCAACTTGGAAGCCAAGCCTGGTCTGGGAGAAGCTTCGTCTCCATGTCGAAAGTGAAAGTGTACACACGCGCGCTTAAATAGTGAATGGTCACCGGTCATTCGAGCGATGACTTGATTCAATTAAAGCTCATCTTTTATGTGTATTTTTTTGTTTTCAGTGAATGATATTTAAATTATTATCATCTTTTTGTTCCTCCACCCACCAATGTTCCGCGACTTGTCAAATTTATTCCAGGATAAGCATCCGAGTTCTTTTTTTCCCTGCGAGAAAGAAAAGAGGGTAATGTGACAGAAAAGAAACGAAGCATCAAGCATGGATTCCAATATTAAACGAATAAAGCAATAAAGAAGCCGCGCATCCGATTTGTATTTAGTGTCTGATCTTGTGAATGATAATTACATTGCCGGCCAGTCTTTTCTTTGATCTCAACCCTCGTGACACTTTTAATGTAATATCATCAAAATAAACACAAACAAGTTCAGAGCTTACTTAATTAGAGGGAAGAAACAGTTATGATCGGGAAGTGAGTTGGAAAATAGCAATGATAATTGTTTAGAGAGAATGTGGCTGTAATAATTCCACGCTTGTCTGTTGCTCATCATCACGCATCATTGTTTGCCCCAATAATGCTTTTATGCATGCCTCCATCATCATCATTTTTTGCACTCACCGCTTCCTTCTACTTTCTTCACCTCGTTACTCACCAAACATTCAACACAGTACTGCCATTTGTGTCCTTGCTTGTTTATTCTGCGAGTGATAGGCCCAAGTGGGGTAATAAATGGTTTATAGTACTCCGGAAACGTTCTTCTAATCAGCATTCATTTCACCGTTGTTTTGTTTTTCGACTCTTGGCCACTCTTGCCAAGGACCACACGGTTCCTTGGGAGAAAGGGACCACCATTGAGATTAGAGAACCACCCATGAATCGCATTCAATACCCTTTGGAGTTCTAAATGATAAAATCCTTCCATTTTTGTACGGTACATTTAAGGTCACCATTTTTTTAAAAAAAATGAAATGGTCATGGTCATGATCATCAAAAGTATCCTGAGTGCTCGATGACTAAAGTCACAAGTCACAATTTGATCTAGCCACATCAACTCATTGTTCATCATTACTAGCATAGAGCCACAAATATTTATAAAGCTTTACTCTTTCATGTTAGAAGAGAGCACGGAGGTCCTATTGGATGTGAAAGCTGGTTTATTTGTTAACCGTGTAAATCAAAGATTTGTGCCATGAGGTTTTCTTGAAGATGGAATTCCAAAACAAAGCGGAGAGGTAATTTCTATAAATAGGGGCTTCCAATCGGGAAATCGTGGCGTGACTTCGAGGTCAATCCTTTTGCAGCATGGTTGCGAATTTGTTGCAGGCAAAGCTGAGAGCCAGCACATGTTGCTTTTCTCATTGCACAAAACTAATATTCATTTTTTTTTTGACTTTTTTGACAGCCTAGTACTGCTCCTTGAAAATTTTTTTGTCAATTACATTTATTTTAAAAGAATTATTTGAAAGTCTCATAAAAAATTAATTATTTTAAAATTTATTAATATCTAATGATTTAAAAATCGAATTAAACCAAACAATCAATCAAGCTAGAGTAGAAATTTTTTTATAAAATTAAGCTAGATTGGACAACTTTGGATCGATAATCGAATTGAGAATTAGATCCAATTTTTAAAAACTGAATTGTTCAAAAAAATACCTTTTTTTTTTAAATTTTTTTATCAATTTTTTTAAAAATAATATATTTTTTTTTAATCATTTGATATTATATTATGTCATGTAACTTATTAAGTTATGATAAATTTAAGATATTTAATTTTATTTTTAATTTAAATAGTAATTTTATATTTATTTTTTACATTTAAATTATTACATATATGTATAATTTTTTTAATTTAATTATTATATTATTGATTTGATTATTAATCCAACCTGATTGGATTACATGAAACATGAACTGCTAATATTTTTGATTTAATATTCAATTTTAAAAATATTGCTAATAATTAATTGTGTTATTAATAACTTTAATTTAGGTGTTAACATGGTCTGAATGTGATTTTCTCTTTATCTTTTTGTAAAGCAATTTTTGTAAATTTTAATTAATTATTTTTTAAAAATTCCCGCATCTCCTCAGCACGAGGACAATAATAAAGGTAAAAGCACTTTCGGCCGCCGGTAGAAGTCAGGTACAAGATTCTTCTTCCTCTTCTCCTCGATCTTCTTCTTCCTTTTGCGATAGAGCATCAGAGGAGAAGAAAGAATCATCCTGTTCCCGGTGAATTTCGAGGCTTCTGACTTCTCAATCTGCGCGTGGATTCTCCCTGTTTATTTCCTCCTGGCCGTTGCCCTCACACCGTCGCCAGAATCAGCCTATGTGATCCCTGAATCGACTTTGCTTCTCCGGAGCATAGGTTGCTGTCCAACG